GCACAACTCTTGTTTTCACTCTCAAAGGGCTGAGAATATGTTTCGGAACCAAGACACGCGTGTACAGTAATTAGATCACAATGGAAGAGTACGAGTATGTTGAAAACTGCTGTCGAGGTTATGGAGGAATTCATTAAAAGAGAAAACAGTCAGTGTGGGGTTTACCCAAAATTCACGCCCACCCGAAACCAGAGAATGTGACCTTGTTTGGACATAGGGCCCATGCAGATATAATTAGTTAAGATGAGGTCCTATGGGGGGAGGGTGGGCCTTAAATTCAATGACTGGTGTTCTCATAAGAAGTTCCTGCCTGTGAAATTACAGAGAGACATAGGAAAGATGGCCATGTGAAGATGGAGACAAATTCAGAGTGATGTGTCTTACACGCCAGGGAATGCCAAGGCAGCCACCAGAGTCTGGAAGAGCGGCACGGGACAGACTTTCCCTCAGAGCCACCAGCAGGTACCAACCCTGCCAAACTTGGATTTCAGACTTCTAGCCTCCTCCACTGTGAGAAAGAATACATTTCTGTTGTTTTAAGCCATCCAGTGTGTGGTACATTGTAAAAGCAGCCCTAAGGAACTCATGTAACTCCTAAGAAAGATTTCATCAAAAAGCTGGCTTCTGAGGAGAGGTGAAATTTGGATGGAGAAGGAGTGATGAGTGAATTCTAAACCAAAAGTAAGGAGAAGAAAAACAAAGGGGAAAACATTTCCAGAACATAGGAGTGGTAGAAGCGTGGACTCCTGTAATACAAGGTCCACGTGGATGATGCATGAGCGCTGTCTGGGTAGGTCAGATGGGTTGTTCGGTCCATAGACACCCCCGCAAAGGGACACATGGGAGCTTCCAACCGGGGAAAACAAAGGCTGGCTGGGAATTTCCTAGCTCAGTGTTACCCGTGTATTCCTGTGCCCGACTTATCTTCTATTTCTTCTCATGTTGCTTGCTATTTCCTGCTGAAAAATATTTTTACTTATGTCTGTGTTGCCAGCTTGTATGTTTTATTCAAGCTAGTGACTGTGTGCTAGTGAATTAATTCTGCCTTCAAGGAAGATAAGGACCACAATAACTTCCCCTTGTGTTCCCTAGAACAAAACTGCATTGGTCTTTGAGCCTGTTACACTAGAGGGTCTGAAACAGGAGTGAATGCTGCTAGAGACATGTGGAAAATTCTGAACTTTTTAATGTGTTTAATTCTAAAAATGTGGTATAAGAAGTGCAATGGAAAAATCTAAAACCATTCTCTGAATTTCCTTATAGGATGAAATACATTTATTTTGGGGGTCATAAATTTGAATTGGTGAGAAATGTTAGCATCTTGGAATTGGTTTTCTTTTTTTTCTTTTCTTTTTTAAAGCAACATTGAAATAAAAAGTTGGAGGAAACCCTTACGGAGCACGTGGGAGGCATAAGAATGGTGTTGTAGCCTTACACGTGGTTCTGCTGTTCTTTGGGGAGCAAGTCCAGTCTGCTCTACGAGGTCTAAGTTCTTAGAGGATGGGGGGCGCGGCTTTGTCCCATTGTGTTCATCCCAGTGCCGAGAGCATGTGACGCTGAGGCTGACTGGGAAGCAGTGTGGCTAGCAGACAGATCATGGACTTCAAAGTTCATGAACAATGAACAAGCCTTTAAATCCTGCCTCTGGCCAATCTCCAGTCGTGCCCCTCAACAGTGTAAAACAGTGGTTCTTGTTGTCATTGTATCGTAATATAAGGTGCTGGCACAGGCCAGTGTGCAGTGATGTTCCCCTCCTTTTCATGCCTTCCCCTGAAATCTCTGCTAAGATCCCCCTCTACATTTTGAGGCTGTAGAAGTTTTCACAGTGAAATTAATGCAGCTCCAAATGTCCATTATGCAATAATGTGTGTCTTTAACCCTCAGAGTTTCTGTCTTTGAACTTCATTCATTCATTTCTAAGGAGACCCCAGAACCCTAGTCTCAACTCTTTGGATTGCTGGTGAGCTTGCTCGCATGTCACTCCTTGCTTGGGTAACGCCTGGCTGAGGGACGGTGAATGGGGAGGGCGAGGTGAAGAACCTGAAGAAGAGACCCTGGCTCCCACTGAAGGTGGCTTGCAGTCGCGAGGGACATTCGGTGCTTTTAAAAAGGGAAGTGATATGTTATTTGAACAGAAGGTGATTTCATTGGAAGCAGTTACTCTTAGACACTCAATGTCCTTTCTCCTGATGATGAGATGTTCTTGTCTGACCTTCTGGAGAGGGTATTTAGAACAGTCTCCTTATGTAGATATTAAAAAAAACAAACAAACAAAAACACAAACAAAAAACCCTTCCCAATTCCCACCCCAAGTAGCTCAACTGACGAATGATTCGTTGAGAGCGGAGTCCCCGGGACCTGCTCCTGTCCCAGCCCTCAAGCCCACATGTGTGTAGAGTGTGGTTTACTTGTGAAGCCTGCAGCTTACTGGAAAGCTCGGTTGTCTAGGTTTAAGACCTGGTTCTGACTAGGCAAATTCTTTAACCTTCCCTGGCCTCAGGCTCCTCAGCTGTGAAATGAGGCTAGTGCTTATCATACAAGAGTTGCTCTGAAGGTGAAGATAGTTGTTTAAAATGCCTAGAATTGAAGTCAGTGGAGAATAAGAACTGTTGTCCATCTGGGAATTTTAAGTCCATTTACATTCCTGTTGGAGATATGTTGTAAATTCTTCAGTCTTGGTTGTAAAATCTCTTTATCTTTTTATATAAAAAGATACACCAACCTACACTGGCAGCTACACCGAGCAGGACCTCTGTTGTTTCCATTACAGCCATAGACTGTCTTTTCAATGCATGATGTTTTTGGTCCACACATATTTGCTTTAATCCAGCCACATCAGAAGAGCCAGGGGGATGGCTTTTTTTCTCCTCTTAAAAATATCTATCTAGTGTTCACTATGTGCGAGACAGTTCTGGGTACTTGGATGTTGTGATGAATGATGATTATGTTCTCTGTAATGTTCTGCAGGCCAAGGCACACAACCAGCCAGGACCTGCAGGAGACATACCTGTGTAGAGTGGAGTTTCATTCATGCTATAGATTTAGACAGAGTGCATTTTATACTTCCATCGCCTACTATAGAAATGGCCCATGAAATGTGATAAAAATCTCTGTGTCCTTCCCTCTTCCTCTAGCAATATACATCACCTTTTCAAAGAGGAAAAAAAGTAGTATTTGGCATTGCAGACAGATTATGAACATTTATGAAGTTTTTGTATTCATGATAGTTTATCTTTTTTGGATTGAGTTAATAAAATATGTATAATCCTAGATAGTACAGGTTGAAAAATATAAACATGATCAAGAAAAATATACAAATGAAAAACATACAATGTCTGATTAGCAGGGAATTCAGAGGTATTGGATATACCCAGTGTGGCAAGCTAAATAATGACTCCCAAAGATTTGTCCACATCCTAATTTCCATATAAAAAGAAGTTTTTGCAGATGGGTTTAAGTGCGGATTTTGAGATGAAGGGATTATCCTGGATTATTGGGTGGGTCCTAAATGCAATTGCATGTACCCTTTTAAGAGGGAGGCAGAGCGAAATCTGACCACACACAAGAGACAGTGACGGGAAAATGAAGCAGACAGAGACTTAGAGATGCTGGCCTTGAAGATTGGAATGATGTGGCCACAAGCCTAGGAATGCTGACAGCCACCAGAAGCTAGAAGAGGCAAGGAATGATTTCCTTCTAGAGACTTTGGATGGAGTGTGGCCCTGCTGACGCCTTAATTTTGGCCTAGTGATACTTATTTTGGACTTCTGGTCTCTAAAACTGTGAGACAGTGCTTTTCTGTTGTTTAAGCCCCGTCCTGCCCCCTGTATGAGGTACTTTGGTATAGCAGCCATAGAAAATTAATATCCCCAGTCATTTTAGATTGACACGGGGAACAACCACTGACTACTCTGTCAACCATGTCTTGGCATTGATGCTATAGTATATGTTCTGGTTCACTGTGTCACTTCTAACTTAACGTTCCTTTATTTTCCTTTGCATTCTACTAAATGCCAGGTGGCATGTAGCTTTCCTTTTGATTTTTGATTTGTACATCAGCATTTTGATGGTGGGTGGGATGGGGGAGTCTCCCTGACCTTTTTTTTTCCCCCTCAGATATTCCAGGTAAATTTGATGCGTGGATCATGTTTCCAGACATTGGTCCAGGTAAGGGGTGGAGAAGTCTATCAGTGCTCTGACACACAGCAGAGTGCACTATTTTAGTGATATGCAGGGGACTTAAGATCTGTTTCCCTTGAATAGCCAAAGAAATAAGCAAATTCATGAGGGTTGATTTCTTCTCTCATGCTCTGTGCTGACCCTGCAGCTTTTTAAGGCCTCAGTAAAATTTACTCTGATAGTCTTCATTTGTACACTATACCTGACTAGGTCATCAGCGACAGCATCTTCCCTTTGCAGTATGTCGATACACCATGCTTTCTTAAGCTTAAACCCTAGTTCAGCAATTCTCAACCTTTTTCATCTCATGGCACACATAAACTAATTACTAAAATTCTGTGGCATACCCAAATATATATATATATATATATATATATATATATACACACATATATATGCCAATCAAACAAGAAAAAAAAAGTAGGTGTAATTTTGACTCATTCACATGGGACAACTATTGTGTTGGCTGTTGTAATTTTTTATCTTGACAATCTAACGGAAAAGAGGCCAGTGCCCCTGACTAAACAGTCAGGCACGGCATGTTTTAGAGATTCTTGCTGCACATGGGTTGAAAATCATTGCCCTAATTACACAAAGGGACTTGTGTACACCCTCGTAAGTTTCCAAGGTGCACCTGCATCTAACCCAATGTCTATTGGTTAGGATGCGGCCTTTCCACAGGGGCCTAATGTTGCTCAATACATTTAGATTCTTCCTGATTTCCTTCTCAGGTCATCACTTTATCTTAAGTGCTCAAGGCTTTAAATACCATTCATATTTAAACGCCCAACTCTCTATCTCACCTCCAGCCTCCTTTCCAACTGCCTGCTAGCCATCTCCTCTTGGACGTCTAATGGACACCTCCAGTTCAATCCAGCTAATGTCCATGAGAGCATTTAGACTCAGGTCGTCTATTTGCGTCCTCCTATGTAAATAAATTCCAACAGGACTTATTTACGTAGGAGGTGTCCTGTTCTGTGCAAGAGCCACAATACCTAGAACTGTGTGAGGCACCACGGCAGGCAGGCAATAAATACAGTTGCATCTGCCCTCCTGGAGTTTCATTTTTGGGGGGTTAAACTAGGCTGGTCCTCTTGAGACGAGCGAAGAATGGGGTTGATGGTACTTAGTGATGAGCCCATTTTGCTACCTCTCCTCCTGGAAAGGCTGTGAATTCTTGCTGTCTTTCAATCTGCGCAGAATCCCGATCCTTCGGTGCTGTCAGACTGGACAAGGTGAGCCGCGGGTGCTGGGCGCTGGCCGCTGGGGTTTTCTTCCAGAGGCGCCGCCGTGGGCTCCGCGGAGTCCCCGCGAGGTCCAGCCCCGCCAGCGCGAGTCGTCGAGGCGTGTGCGACCCAAGGCTTTTTTCTTGCTTGGCCGGACGGGGCGGTCCGCTAGGCTGCGCGTCGGGGCGCGGGCAGCCAGGCATCGTCCGGGCGTATGCGGCCAGGCGCTCCGCGACGGCGCGCGTGGTGCAGGCTCTCGAGGCCGCGGCCGGCGCCGCCCGACGTCACTTCCGACCGGGGCCAAGATGGCGGCGCCGCGACCGCGGGCGCCGAGGCGTGCAGAGGGGCGGTGGCGGCGCGGGCGGCGGCTCTCGGCGCTCTGAGGCGCGGGGGCGATAGGCGCAGGTAAGAGGGTACCAGGGCGGGCGACTTCCGGGACGGTGGCGGGCGCGGTGGCGGGATCCTCGTCCCTGCCCGCGAGGAGCTTGGCGGTGGCGGCGGTGGCGACACGCCGGGGACCCGGGCGCGCAGGGCCGGGCGGGTGGACGCGCCCACTCCGAGGTCCGGTCGTCCCGAGCCGGCGGGAGTCCCAGAACAAGGCGCGGCCGGCCGGCGGCCGGGGGCCCTCCCTGCGGCGCCCCAACATCCCGGCCCGCCCTGGGGCCCGCGGCGGCGAAGTTGCGGGTTCGCTTTGTCGCCGTTGGTTTGCCGCGCGCCCGGCGAGGGGGACGCGGAGGGCTGCGGTGCGGCGGGGCGGGCGGCGGCGGCGCGGGACCAGTGGCCGCACGTCCCCCCGGGGGAGGCTCACGCGGGGTCCCAGGGCCGTTCCAATTTCGAGTCATTTTGCTGCTTTTCTTTTGTGTGCAAACCGAACGTGTCTTTCACACTTGCAGCCTTAATTTGCGTCTTGCCTCTTTGTGTTTGCCAAATAGTTTTTGTGCGGCTCCAACCTGGAAATTGCCCCCCTTCGTATGCCTGTCGTTTTTAACATACGTGCACTTGTAGATTTTTGTGTGTGTGTGTGGTTGTTGAAGATATTCACAAACCTATTTTTGATGGTGGCAAGTGAGACGTGAAGGGGACCTAACAGGTCCGGGTTTATTCCCAGGCCACCGTGGTTCCTTCCGATCCACGCGGGGACCGCCGGCCACGACTGGCCACCCTCTGTCGCGGGTGACCTGCGGGACCGACCCCACTGCTCACCGGGAAGCCCACGTTCCCTTCACGACGCAGCTGAGTGAATTCCCCGCAGAGAACACCCATGCTGGCCCCTCATCTTCATTCAGTGTTGTTTGAGGGTCTGATTTTTTTTTCAGAAATGGGACGCCTTTCGGTGCCTCCCACTAGGTCTTTAGATCCCTTAAATCAGACACTAAAATGGGTCTACCCAGAACGCGACTAAAATATATGTTGTAAAGTTTTTGTTGGCTGCAGGCTTATTGTTAAAAGCAACCACAGCGTTTTACGAGTCAACGATTCTCTTAGACATCACCATATCATTTTGACCAGTTGCACGTCCAAGTATTGGGGACACTTAGGCCTTTAATTTTTTAACATGTTATGAAGTTAATATTGAGGAAGTGAGACACAATCACATGTTCTTCTGCAGTCGGGTTCTGTTTCTGCCATGGCATAGCGCTGCCCTGTCTTTCTCTAGAAGCTTCCTATGGACACCGAGAGGACCTGCAGAGATGACCGTGGCCAAGCCCCTCATTTCAGGCTGTGGCAACTGCGGTTGAAAGTCCCGGTGTGACAGACGTTTGCTCACAGCTTGTGGTATTCCAGGGCTCCTTTCTTACATCTTTTGTGGTTTGGTTTGAAAGTTAATATATTTGGAGTGTTTAGAAAAGCGCCAGGCTCATAATAATGCTCAATAAAGGCTCGCTTTTGTTGATTGTGAAGGTAGTTTCTTTAATTTGAAAAATTGGTGTATTCAGATTATTTCTTTTTTGGTAGACAGCTCCTGGGACATCGTTTAAATTTGTAATAACGCATTAGTTTTGTACGTACAAAACGTTGGAAAAGATTCTCACTGTAGAACAATTAGTAAATCGACACAAGCACAAAGAAGGAATAGAAATCAGGCATAACCTTCCCCACTCCTCAGATAACCACTGTGAACATTTGTCTCTCTTGGTGTGCATGTGTGTATTTCTTATATATATTTATTCACTAGGATATATTTGTTTTATGCAGGATTGATATCATATTGTCTATGTTGTTTGTAGCCTGTCTTCCTGTAAGACATTGTGAACATATATCCATGCCATTAAAATTTCTTCAGTACGATTTTAATGGCCACATGAGATATGAATGAGCCATAATTTATTTATCAATTCCATATTGATTAGTAGGGTTTCCATAGCCTGAGATTTTCCTTTTATTAAGAGTTGTTTAGAAAGGTTTTTGTGTTGTGAATTGGAAATGTCTGTACTCTTTTAAGATATGTGAAAATGTACATTCTGTTCTTTAGCCCCTCGAGATGCATTTTCCCTGCCAGTGCAGGTAGAGTCAGCACTCAGTCTCAGCTTCCTTCTCTGCTCCCCAAGCTGGGTCTGTGCAGTTACACCGTAGTTCTGTGCGCATATTCTTTTGATGATTATTTTACGTTAGATGTTTTATTTATTCATGGAACTGTTTCTTTAAGCTGCTGATGTCTTTTCAAGTTCCACATCTGAATCACAAACCTTTTAAGTCCTGTTAAATCATAGACTTTCCAGGATGGAAAGCACCTTAGGGTTATTTACTATTTTCATGTCTTCTGACTGACTTTTCATGCTATTTTTAATACTTACCCAGGGGGGAAAACACCCAAAACTAGGCTGTCACTAGAAAATGCCACAGTGGGGAGTGAAAAGGGACAGTACGAGAAAGTTGTCAGACTTACCATGGTGATCCAGGGAGTTTCCAGATGACGGGGGCATTACCTGACAGTCATTACTACTGGTAATGGTGAGCATGCAGTGCTGTGCGGGCTGCCTGGGGCCCCTCCGCCACACTGTCACCCTTCCCAGCATTTGGTTAGAGGTCTGGGCTAGTGTTCTGTCTCCTTTTGAAGTTAAAAGTTTATGGTTAGAGCCATAAAAATCATCTTTGCAGAGCGGCTGCAAGCTGTGGACTCCATTCCTGAGAGTGGTGCTGAGGACCCATGAAAGTGGGGTTCTTAGCTCTGGCACTGTGGACACCTGGGGCTGGGGGATTCCGTGGCGGGCGCCCTGTCCCCTGGGGCAGGGGGATTCCTGTCTGTTGTGGGATGTTCAGCAGCATCCCTGGCGCCTACCCATGAGATGCCAGCAACACGTCAGGACAAGATGCCCTGAGTCAGGACAACTGACGAAGTCTCCAGGCATTGCCAGAGACGTGCCTGGGGGCAAGATCACCCCAGTTTTCCACTGCTGCATTAAAGGAAAGCCCATCTAACTGGATTGAAGCAGTTTATGGGCGAACTGAGAATCCACTGTAATGTAGACATGATGTCCACCTGGAAGCTGGGGAAGGACTTGGTGGCCTGTGGCGTTCCCCCCGTGTCTGGTTTTATGCCCGGCTTGAATGGTCACTTGCGTTCAAGCTCTGCTTTAGCGTCCCGTTGGTTGCGAGGGATGAAGCAATGAGAAGTAACTTGGAGACTGTGACACAGGATTGGCCTCCTCCGTATGTAGGTTAAATTATTAGGGAATTTAAATACATTTGCATGGAGTCATGCGTGGTGAGTAATTTAAGCTGGTGAGCTAGCATACTGAATAGCACAGAAGCAACTGCTTCTCAGAGAGAATGAGACTTATTGGAGCACCCCCTTGAAGACTGAGAGTAGCAGCCGAACTAGTTTCTCTAGTAAAATCCCTCTCTCTCCCTCCCCTCCTTGTTTTAAAACAACCAGTTCACAGGCACCAAAAATGATGGATTTATCTTGAGGAGATAAGGTTTTTACTTACGAAGTGCTCCCGTAACTTTAACTCAACTACTTTATGTTGTAAAGACAGCTCTTTGAGCTTCGAGGCAAACAGGCATCATTAGTGTGGCTCGCCCTGTATGGGAAAGGGTCTAAGTTGTTAACATCTGTATTTGTTAACCTTAAGAGTATAGATAGTGTAGGTTGAGTTAAATGTGGTATATATATTTTATGTTAGTTAGAACTTAATAATAAATAAAACATAATAAAAGAGATATATTATAGGACTGTTGCTAACGGGGTAGCTTTCTGAAGTACAGAATATCTGCATAATTTCACTGGAATGAATGCATGTGTCATTTCAGTATTCTTTCTTAAAGAGAATGCCTTCTATTCCCCACCCCCACCTCCCTGAGGCGCAAGAGTTATTGTGCATAGTAAATCTGGTTCATTTGGAGTGAAATATGCTTATAATATTTTTCTCAGCACTGTATAGTATTTATTCTTAAGAGTCTTGGTTCTTGTCACGCCTATACTGTGTTTTCATTTATTAGTCCTTCGGAACATGCACTAAAGGAGATTTCACTGAATACCTTATATGTTTGCCAGCCATTTTGGTGAAAAGAGTATTTTGTAGCTCTGCAGTAAATCATATGATAGGCTTTGCTTTGAAAGAGCTGAATTATTTCTTGGCACAGCTTGCCTGAAATGTGTAAAGCTAAGTGTGCCTGTTAGTTTGATTATGGTGGACCGCCTGTCTGGAAATTGGTGAAACCTCCAGATTTTATAGGTGCGTCTGAATAGTTCCCCTGAGACTACATTAAGTTCTGGTGGGGAAATTCTGTGGCATTTTCAACCGATTTAAATGATGCCATCGAAATTTAAAAAGAGTTTTGAGATTCACCATACACCAAATAACATGTCAGTATGAATCCTGTACATTTCCCAAGACCTCATGAGGACTATAAATTAGGCATCATTTGGAGTACGAGTACAAAAATGACACTCTAAATGGTTCGCACTCTGTGAGGCTTGTTTTAGGGACTTTGCTATAATTCTGAAAGACCTATCTTAAAGTCCATCTGAAAGTAGGAGTTTTAAAAAGGAGGGCTCTCGGGAT